TCGTGTGGCTGTTAACCACAAGGTCGGAGGTTCAAGCCCTCCTTTTAGCGCAAAATTGTTTTTTGTAGATTAGATTATTAATTCAATGAATAATGAAAAAAAAGAAAAATTAAATGATTGTTGGAATAGCTCAGTTGGTTAGAGCGTGTGACTGTTAACCACAAAGTCGGAGGTTCAAGCCCTCCCTCTAGCGTAAAATTGTTTTCTGTAGGTTAGATTCTTAATTCAATTAATAACGAAGAAAAAAAAATTTAATGATTGCTGGAATAGCTCAGTTGGCTAGAGCGTGTGGCTGTTAACCACAAGGTCGGAGGTTCAAGCCCTCCTTCTAGCGCAAAATTGTTTTTTCTAGGTTAGATTCTTAATTCAATAAATAATGAAGGAAAAAAATTTAATGATTGCTGGAATAGCTCAGTTGGTTAGAGCGTGTGGCTGTTAACCACAAGGTCGGAGGTTCAAACCCTCCTTCTAGCGCAAAATTGTTTTTTCTAGGTTAGATTCTTAATTCAATGAATAATGAAGAAAAAGAAAAATTTAATGATTGCTGGAATAGTTCAGTTGGTTAGAGCGTGTGGCTGTTAACACAAGGTCGGATGTTTCAAGCCCTAGCGCAAAATTATTTTTTGTAGGTTTAAATTATTTTTGGATTGCAATCCCTTTCAAAAATTTTTTATATTCTTACTTCAATTAAGAACGAAAAAAAGAAATAAATTAATAATTGTTGGAATATTTCAGTTGGTTAAACTGTGTGGTTGTTAATCACAAGATTGGAGGTTGAAGCCCGCTTTTTAGCGTAAATTTGATTTTTTGTAGTTTTAAACTTTTTTAGATTCTTAATTCATGAAGAACAAAAAAAAAAAGAAAACAATTAGTATTTGCTATTAACTACTAATAGCATGTGGCTATTTGGAGGTTCAATTTCTCTTTCTAGCGTAAGGTTGATTTTTGTACGTTTAAATTTTTTAGATTCTTAATTGAATGAACAACGAAAAAAGAAAGAAAAAATTAATAATTGCTGGAATGGCTCAGTTGGTTAGAGCATGAATGTTAACCACAAAGCCTGAGGTCTAAGCCCTCCTTCTAGCATAAATTTGATTTTTGTCGGTTTAAAATTTTTAAATTTTTTAGCTTCTTAATTCAAATGAAAAAAAAAAAGCATAATATTTATGTATAAAAATACATAAATATGAGCTGAAAACGATGGCTGTTCGGCTGGCTGTGGAACCAATGACGTGGTTCCACGCCAGTAATAATTTCATGGGCTCCATGTGTTTTATCATTGGCATGAAATCATTGGTTCTACAGTCRATCGAGCAGCCATAGCGTTCAGTCAAACCTTATTCCACGGAGGATCAAACTCTTCTAGCGCAATTTTTATTTTTTCTACGTTTAATTTTTATAGCTTCTTAATTAAAATGAAAAATAAAGAAGAAAAAAATTACAATTGCTGAAATAGCTCAGTTTAGGTTTTTTTTTTTTTTGGCTTCTTAATTCAAAATGAAAAAAAAAAAAAGAAGTAACAAAAATATACTATCAACGACCACAGTGGGAGTCGAACCCACGACCTTTTGATCCGAAGTCAAACGCGCTAATCCACTGCGCTATGCGGTCGAGCACTAATTATTTCTTGGGCTCCATATATTTTATTATTGGCATGAAATCATTGGCTCAGTCAATCCACTGACTATACAGTCGCTAACACCTTCCTCTCGACATTTATATTAATATATCGGAAGCTCCCTCCATATTTTCATCTCTGCTGCATGTGGCAAATCCAAACCGTCTATCAAGCATAAAGCATAGACCCCTTTAGATCAAAGTAGAAATACACCTTTGTGTATTGATAGAGTTGTATTGGTATTTTAAGTGATACATATTTTATAGTTTTAGTTTTTTTTTCAAATTTCAGTTTTAAGTATAATATTAGTGGGACCCGTGTGATGCATGAGATTTATTAAGCTAAAGTTAAATAATAGAAATGGCCATTTACTAAAATACCTCTTATAGTTTCATGAATTTACTAAAATCTACCCTATAGTTAAAATTTTACTAAAACACCACTTATAATTTGTAATGGATTTAATCAATATTCCATTAGATGAGAGTATTGACCCTAATGTTCATTTAAATAAATCCAATTAAAAGAAAATAAAAATTAAAATACCATTTTTGCCCTTTATAAGACACGGGCAACCATTCTATTGGCTATATTTGGTTAATTTGTTTTCAATACAAAAAAGTGTTAAGGGTATTTTTGTAATAAAAAATCATGGGCCTAATGGCAAAAGAAACACTCCTTAATGAAAGGTTGATTAAGTAAATAAGTTGTAAAATATATATGGGATGTTTTAATAAAAGGAAAACTATAAAAATATACAATTGTTTTATGTTTTCAACTTTTTAATTAGTTAATAACTATTCATATTTTATATACTACTTTTAATAATTTTTTATAATACAAAAATAATAATAATTAATTTCAGTTAAGTTTATTCATCAAATTGATGAAACCAACCAACCCGAGTTGATCATTTTTCTAGTATTTTAGGTCAGCTTTGGTTCAAAAATTTCCCAATTCGAACAAATTGGATCGGTTTCACTTTGGCCATTTGTAAACCAACCAAAATCGAATGACCTAACCATGGATATATATTAATATTTTATATTTTAAATATAATTTTTAATATGAAAAAGTGAGAAATTTCCCATATTTCTTAGTCTAAAATATTTTATATCATAAATCTAATTTTTAAATTTAYTTTTTAATAATTGCACTATAATTTTTAAAAATAAATTAAATTTTTAAGTTTAAATCTTTTGAACTAACAAACCAAACGAAAAAACCGACCCAAACCGATACAACTCGAGTGGGTCGGTTTTGACAAAAGGTTAGTTGGTTTCAACTGACCAATTCCCCAACCTAACCAGGTCAATTTGGTTGGCCAAATAGCCTACGACTGAACCAAACCAACTCATGAACACTCATAATTTCAACTAAATTAATAGTCTCATCTCTGATAAATAACAATAGTTTAATCTCCAATAATTATTGAAAGTTTATAGAAAAAATACACAATTATTGATAATGAAAAAAATACAATAATTACAAAAATATAATAAATACTAAAAATATATTAACTTGGTCAATAATTAGTATAATATCAAATAATAGTTTAAAATCTCTAGTAAACATTAATCAATAAGTTATAACAAAAATACAATAAATTAAATTTGAAAATTTCACTAATAGTAGTTTAATCTCCAATAATTATTGAAAATTTTCTATTAAATAACAAAACAAAATAAATTTATATATAATCGTTGGAAATACATTTATCACAAAAACAATAAATAATTTCTGAAATATCTCAATTTAAGTTTAAAATTTTTATTTTTTTTATTGTTTGGCTTCTTAATTCAAAATGAAAAAAAAAAAGTAACAAAAGTACACTATCAAACAACCACAATGGGAGCCGAACCCACGACCTTTTGATCCGAAGTCAAACGCGCTAATCCACTGCGCTATGCGGTCGCTAATACCAGACTCTCAACTTTTATATTAATATATTGGATAAAGAGGAAGCTCCCTCT